CCCTTTTTAAAAACCACAAAAATAGTCTGTATGTACATATACAGATAATTAAATAAGTACATACACACTTATGTTCATGCTTATATACATATNTGAAAATATTTTTAAACTGAAACGTTCTTAGACCTCTATCTTTTGACACCCATACATTTAAAACAGGTGGCAACCCTTTTTAAAAACCACAAAAATAGTCTGTATGTACATATACAGATAATTAAATAAGTACATACACACTTATGTTCATGCTTATATACATATAATAAATGAAAAATTGTGCGTTATTCAGTATTACTTGAATCATGAATGAAAATTTATTCAACATTCATTCGCAAGTGCTTGAAAGATGAATAAAAATTTATTCGTTATTTGAAGTTATTTGAGTGATGAATAAAAATTTATTCATCATTCGCAAGTGCTTGAATGAGGAATAAAAATTTATTCGTCATTTGAAATCAGGGACGGAAAATAATCATTATTTTTTAAATTTTAATCAAAGAAATCAACAAATTGTAATCGTCGTAAAACAACTTTATTTATACCCACGTATTTGTTTTCGTACGTCCCACTGTAATGAACAATGATTTTTATTTTTCGAGTTTAACCAATAAAGATTAAAAATAATTATTAATATTTGAGTTTTAATATTTCGCTCAAAAGTAATTATTATTACTTGATTTTTATTTTTTCGATCAAAAATAATGATTATTTTATGATTTTTATTATTTCGCTCAAAGATAATAGTTATTATTGAGTTTTATTTTTTTCTCTTAAGAATAATGATCATTCAAAAAAATCAAAAGCTATACCAGTGCGATTTTCGTCGTATCCTTTTCAGAGGGAGCGACACTTTAATAAAGGAATAAGCCTCAAAATTTTCAGGTCAAAATTTCAGTAAGTTGCGTCTGTATAGCCTTTTCAATTTTATGAATAATCATTATTTTTAAGTGGAAAAATAAAACTCAATAATAATTATTATCTGTGAGCGAAAAAATAAAAATCATAAGATAATCATTATTTGTGATCGAAAAAATAAAAATCAAATTATAATTATTTCCGCTGAGCAAAAGAAATAAGAATCAATAATTATTATTTTAGAGCGAAAAAAATAAAACTCATAAAATAATGATTAAATGCTGATTTAAATTATTTAACTCATAATGATTACCGTCCCTGTTTGAAATTACTGCAATGATTAATAAAAATTTATTTTTTGTTTGAATAATAATTCATTCAAAAACGCCCATCCCTGTTACTATATCGATGGCTGAGTGGAAGATCGACCTATCTCGGCAGCCAGTTCGAAAAAACCCTATCACAGCTTATTTTCAATGTATTTTCGTTTGGGATAGGGCGTTTTTGAACCGAATTCTGAGATAGGGCGTTCTTCAACAAAATTCTGAGATAGAATGTTTTTCAATAAAATTCTGAAGTAGGGCGTTCTTGAAAAGTTTTCTGAAATAGAGCGTTTTCGAATCGGCTGCCAAGATAGGTCGATCTTCAGCTCAGCCATCGATATGAGGCATTTCATGTCACCACGGCCACCTCTGTGCGCGACCTCTAAGGATTTGGATGAAAGTTGAAGAGATTGAAGGTCTAGGTGACAAGAATATACGTGCGGCATATTTTGCCGATATGACAAATGGTTGTCTATTTACACGGGGCTTAAATTTCAAGAAAACGTCATAGATACCTTTCTTTAAAGTGCTGTATCTTTGAGACCTTTTAACGCAACTTAATGAAAAAAAATGTATTTCTTCCGTCTTATTACGGGCTTTAATTGTACATTTTTTACATTAATTTGCAACGTATAAAAAATAAAAATAAATTAAGCAAACATTGGGCGCGTTCATAAGACTGATGAGCTGTTTAGCTCATCTGCTACGAAACTGATGGCAACTGTTTAATCCAACAATTACGTCTTAGAAACGGCTTGATGAATATGCTGCCAAATGAACAGCTGATAAATGTAAACAAATGAAATTGCAACAAATAGAGATAGTTGCGCCGATAGTATTTAGAATTCAACGCTGAGCTGCCGCCGTGTTGAAAAAATCGTTCAATGTTACAATGAATTAAACAGTGTAAAATTATATAGCAAACATCTTAAAAACATATATTTTGAAACGTAGTATTATTATAAAATATTCTAGTTATTTTATCACATTAGTAATATAAAATATAATAACGAAGCGTCGTTAAATTCAATATAAGCGGCGTAAGTATTTTCGATCAGCTGTTTAGGCTAAGCCCAACACGTTGAGTTCAGGTAGCGTAAACATTTCCGCTGGAAAAAATGGCGGAAAGTTGCCAACTGTTGAGCTGAACGGAACTACTCAACTGTGCGTTTCTAAGACAAATAGCCAACGGTTGGGCAACAGCTACGTCTTATAAAAGCGCCCATTTTTCTTTTTATTTTTTTTTTTGATTATAGCATTTATTTATATTTTTATTTTTACATAAAATCATTGTCTATAATGTCAACTTTAAGTACCCAAATGGGCGTAATGGGCTACTTATGCGTTTGGACTCTAGATCGTCTAACGCTCAAGCAATATGATAAATAGACATTGAAGTTTTATGAAATTGTATATTTTTGAAAGAGGAAAGGTGTGTAAAAAGCAAAAACAATATGAATAAATCATATTAACTTTATTAAAGGCCTGAAATCATGAAAATCCCTTCAAGGAAATGGCAGAATTGACCTTTGTTGCAAGTTCATATGGGAAATCTGCTTACGACGTGATTAGAGGCAATTTTAGGAGACTAGCACTGGACCAAGTCAACTCCTGATGTTACAAAAAATTCGTACACCCGAAGCCCTCTACCAACGGGATGCCTGTAAAAAATAACTGCAACTAACTTTTTAGTGGACTATATTTCGACCATGACTACGTGCCAATTACTTTAATCCTATTTTAAGCTAGTTTAAAAGGTTAAATAACATCAAGTTAGGGAAGTTCATATCCTTATTTAACGAATCTCTAAATCAATAAATAATTTTTTTTCTTTTAGTTCTTCTTGTAATAAAAGCATGTTGTTGGTTTTTTAACTACAATTTTATTACTCATTAGGTATATTTTTTTTACATCTTTCCTTTTTCTTGTTTTAATAAAAGGACTAACCTTGCAGCTATCGTTGGAGGATATTCCTTTGCAATGAAACCGAAACATCGACAACATCAACATGAACAACACTAATTGCAAAAGAATATTAGACCTCCAATCATAGCTTCAATGTTATTCCTTTGGGTACTGTTTATGAATTTGTACAACGATTTTGGGTTGCTGTGCCCAAACGCGTGAATCGAATCAAAAAACTTTTACACACACTTGTAGACAACAGTTCACGCTTTATTACAAAAATTTTATTTACTAAATCAGTGCAAAAAATTTAACAATAATGTCGGTTGGAAATATGGTATTTGTTGCAAATTTTTGTTATAAATTTGTATATACATTTTTATATACAAGATATTTTTATAAAACACCAAAATAGACATCACTGTGGCGGCAGCCCCAGGTTTACCACACAGAAAGGGAATTCTAGCTACCTCATCCCTTCCCAAGGTTACATCACGGGGGCGGTAGGCCGCCTACGCAGAAAGGTGTTCTCTGCAAAAGATGTCCAGCCCCCCTTCTTCGGACGCAAGTTTAACTTTGTTTTTTTTCTTGCAAAAACGCTAAAATTCCCCTATTTTCAAACAGCTCCCCAGAGGTCTGTGGGAGGGGTTGGGGGGGGAGGGGTGACTTCATAAAGCGTCACTCCTCTTTCGTTTAGGGGGGATTTGTGGGGCCCACACCACCTGCCCCTCCGTCCCCACCCCTAAATCGTTGCACAAATAGCTAAACACTTCCCATTCCTTTTATTAAAACAAGAAAAAGGAAGTGTGTAAGAAATAATACTGAGTAATAAAATTATAGTTAAAAAAAAAAACAACAACACGCTTTTATTACAAGAACTAAAAGGAAAAAAATTATTTATTGATTTAAAGATTCGTTAAATAAGGATATGAAGTTCCCTAACTTGATGTTATTTAAACTAGCTTAAAACAGGATTAAATAGGATTAACGTCCTGACCAAGTTTCATTTGTCAATTCCACCTGGTTTTCTTAAAACAAAAGGTGCGCCTGAATACTAAAGTCTACCCGGCAAATCCCTATTACTTACCGTTCTACCGCCTGTTATCTCACCGAGGATGTTTTGGATTTCTTCAGCATCAGTGCGACTATCAAGTTCAACAACATATGCAGGAACAGCAAGTTTGCGAAATTGCTTAAAAGAAAATCAAGAACATACATAAATAAGTAAATCCACGTTCGAAAAGGTGTTAACTCCAACCTCCTTGGCCATGGTGCAGAAAGGGCAGTAGCTTTTAGAAAAAATGACTACCTTATTATTTGCAATTACTTCGCGCACCATATCTGCCTGAGAATTACTCATATTGACGTTTACTATCGGTTTCTTAAGTAAAGCAGAAATTACTGAACCCATACATGAGCTCCTTACACCCACGCCGACAACTTGGAAAACTTTCAGGCGTGAAAAATTAATCAGATGTTTCGCAGAAAAGCTGAAATCAGTCAAGAACGCAGAAC